GGTATTATAGGCGCCTAAAGACGCTTAAACTTTGTTTGGTCCACTGACACGGGAGGCGTCTACCGGAAAATTTTATCGATCATAATTCCTACAGATCTTATATCAATCAGATTTGAGTGAATACTAATTCAGCAATTATGTATTTCGTTAGAATCATATATTATTTAAATATGTTTGTATTTTACTTATTTTTTTGTTTTATCCTTAAAATGACAAATTGAGATAAGAAAATGTTCAGAATAAGTGCATGCAAAAGTAATACAACATTCTGATGGTTTAATGATTCTGATTCTGATTCTGATTCTGATTCTGATTCTGATTCTGATTCTGATACTGAAGAAACAAGTGATTTTAAAGTGCCCGTTCCTTTTACAAGTGTATGATTAAAAAACGTCATTTTGTAACCTCTTCATCAGAATCAGAAGAAAATAATATAGAAATTACACCAAAGCAAAAAAAAAAAATATAGAAATAAATTTTCATAAATACAGAGAAATTTCCAACCTACAATTTACGAATTTGATGACGAGAATAGTGGAATTGAAGCAAGTGTAATTGCGTAATCATCTATTCTCGATTTTTTTCAAATTTTTTATTTACAAAAAGACTCATACACTTCATTGTCGAGCAAAATAACAAATATTCAGAAAATAGTACAAGAGGCTCTGTACATAATTCTAATGTAACTGCTATTCCTGAGATGTATAATTTTGTGATCGTTACCATGCTAATGGCATAAATGTATAAGAAATCTATATCAGTATATTGATATAAGAATATGATAATAAGAATAGAATGGTTTGAAGAAATAATGTCAAGGGTTCAATATACATTACTAAAGAATCTGCATTTCTGTGCTAATGACATTAAAAATCACGATCCAATTATGAAAATACGTTGTATTTTGAACAATTAAAAACATTCTTGAAAACTGCATTTTATCCATATGGAAAGTTATGTATAGATGAAAGTTTCTTATTATTTAAAAAAAGATGTTATTTGAAACAATATATACCATCAAAAAGAAACAGGTTTGGAATCAAATCCTTTGTCTGTGTGAAAGCAAGATAGAATATATTCAAGATTTAAATGTATATTCCGGAGTATATTTAAATGTATATATGTATAATATCTGAAGACATACCATCAAAATCCATAGGAAAGTCTAGATAGACAATAATGACACTTCTTGAACCATATATTGGAAACTCCGTTTCCAATAATTGGTACAGCAGTCCCAATTTTTTCTTCAAGTTACATAAAAATTTAACCAACGCATATGAACGGTAAGAAGAAACAGGTAGAATATACTAGAATTAAATAAAAAAATACAAAAGAAAATGTGTATTTCGTTCAACAGAAAATATGGTAGCGTTGAAATAGATGGACAAATGAGAAGTGTGAACGATTTCCACCTATTATTGTCCAAATATGATTGCGACAAACAAGAAGAAAAAATAATCAGATCACAATATACAATTGATTAGAAAAATACAATAGGAGTGGTTGACAAATTTGATCAGATTTTATATAGTCTGAATTCTATCAGAAAAAGATTAAAATGATACAAGAAATTCTTTTTTCATGTGTTTGTTTTAACTGTGTATAATACATTTGTTTTATATAGCTATGCAATTGTAAGAAACTTATCTTTTAGTAAATTTCATTTATATTATATAAAACAAGTTTTACAAAAATACAGCTCAGGTAGAACACATGATAGTAAATCAAAAGTACTCATAATGAGCCATTTCGTTTGACATAAAGGCATTTTTCGTTTCCATACATAAAAATGCAACAATTCGGAGAAACACAAAGCAGAAATGTGTAATGTATAGAAAACATAACAGAAGAAGTGAGACACATTACGAATACATAAAATGTGATATAGGAATATGTTTCTAATTGTACCACCAATTGTACCACTGAATGAAAATACAACATATTGATACTCTCTTTTAATCGACGTTCAACCTTAAAAGAAAACAAATTTAATAAAAAAAGATAAGATTTATGAAAATTACTTAAATGGAATAAACGTCGGCCAAATTCTAACAAGTGACAATTGACATATTCTACGTTTTCAAGAGGTAAATAATAGCCAAAGCAATTAGCCCACAAAATAAGATCCTTCGATGTTCACAAGGAAGAAAATTCTTTGGACAAGTTCGTTGACTGATAAGCTTCTAACATAGCCAATGTCATTTTCAAAACCTCCATTGTCCATATCCTTATGTTTTAATGCATATCTCAGATGAATTTTCAACATAGCCACAGTTTTTTTCGAACTTGGAGACCTTGAATAATATCATACCTGTACATATAATCTAATTATTATTTATTTAGTTCTTTAAGCATCAAAATAACCAAAGATAGATAATATGTAGCCATAAGACATTCTCATCCCAGATGAAGAACAGTAATAGAATCCGCAGTACAAAATAACGTTAATGAAATTCGAGCGAATTCTAAATCATCTTCGTGAAATTCTTTGTCCTGACATAATTCTCTCACCAATTCCTACAAAGAGAAAGATGTTTACCATCAATGTAGATGAAAATTTTTATTTCTTTAAAAAAAAAACGCATAAAATTACCTTCATCTCTTTGGTAGCTAAACGTATATCTTTGAGGATTAAAATAACTTGTGAACTATTTCTAGGTTTATAGGTTCTTTCATGAGAAGATGAATCGAAACCAACGCAAGCTCGTTTTAAACGCGTAAAAAGATCTTGTGCACTATGGAAAGATAATCCTTGTATCAAAGTCGACGGTACATTATCATTATTTTATATAGATGATAACGCAGCAGCTATTAGGGTACTATTATCAGAGTCTTCTTGGTTTCGTAAAATAACGGAATTACCGTTTTCTATCCAGGATAAAATAAATGCTAATGCCCTTTTAACGGGTCTAAAAGTACATGGTAAAGGTTAATTAAACATTGCGTTTCATAATACGTATAATATTTCCAAGATTATTACTTGAAAGTAAAATAAATCTGTTCTCCGTCCCAATGGATTGATATATGTCAATGAACGGTTCTAATCGATCGGACTTATCGTTATAAACAATATCGAATGGCTTATCAGGATCTAGACATCTACAATCTATCGTGTGGTAAATCAAATAGGCCATATTATCGCTAACGTTTTGATTTTCGATTTGTGCCTCTGTACCAAGTGTCTGTGTATGAGCTTTACGTAAATGACACAAAACCGAATTGACCAAATCGAAAGGTGGTGATCGTACTGAGTTGTTTGTCTTTTCACTCACACAGATAAACAGGTATGCCTTTATATTGTCCCGAACGTTAACAGACAAATTTTCGATATTTAAGACAAACGGAAGTGAATCCGGATTAATCGTTCCAAGTTGGACGAGTCCTAATCGTGAAACTGTAACTGGACTCGCACTTGCTAATTTTTGCGTCTCGAATATGAATCTGTATATTTTTTTTTTTTTTTAAGCAATTAGTGCGTTAATGGTGTTGATAATAAAAGATATATATTTTGAATTATTCTACCTTGTACCATTTCCGACTATGACATTAACGCCATTAGGTGATGTTAACAATTTATTATCATCGAAATCGTAGTTTAATGTTTCCAACCATTTTGGTTCAACGTCGCCATTAAAAATGATCCAAATTGAAATTTCACCGGCTGTAATTACAGTGTTCGATAATAATCTTTCTTTCCGTTCTCTTGGAAAATAAAAAAAAAATTAATAATAATTCTTAATTATATCAGTTTCGTCATTGTATTGTTAATTAGGATGAAAATTACTTTATTTCCTAACGTGTCCCAAAAGCTTTGATCTTGACAATGCACCGGAATAAATAGGACACTGATCTACTGGTTCTCCAATTTTCAACAAAGGCTTAGCTAATAGTTATCGAATAGTCGTCTTTCTGTTACCAAGTGGGTCAACGATCGCAACGCCTGTTCGAATTTTTAATTGATCGCTCATTTGTATACGCTGATCTACGATATTCTTGATGTGATTTCTAAATTTGCTAAGTTCTAAGAAGGCTTCTCGCAAATTTTTTATCTCGTTGGACACCACGGTTAACAAATAATTTGTATTAGGAAGACTTCAACTTACAAATAGAGAAATTTTTTGCCGTCGTTCTCAGTTAATTTAAATAATGTTGAATTTTTTATCGCGATTAATAGACTGATTAATTAAAAAAAAATATCTTTATACATTTAAAAATATTTAATATATAATAATTAATTTTTTAATTTTAATATCTAGATAATTCATCGAGATGATTAGCCGGTGAAATAGTATCGATTACCGATTGGTCTAAGGCCTCTAAAGCCTCTATCGTAGTGAAATTGTTTCGAATATAAATTTTGAGATATTTCACTGGTTTGATAAAACTATTGACATGTATAAAGGATTCCAAAAAGCCAGCGCATTCTAGCAACGCTTTGATGATATCAAATTTATCAGGATGAGCCATGCCAATTGGTCGAACAGTTGAGCCATTTGAAAATCCATGACGTCTATCATATTCATATGGTACTAACTGGATTCATTGTGATAAATACGCAAAGTTTGGATCGAGATTGACTCTTTGATCGCCAAGTACAACTTGACTGAATTATAGCTTCTTGAAGAGGTCTGGTTGTTAACGCTACGGCGCTTAATGTTTTCTCTTCGAGACTATTAAATTCTTCGAAACATCCCCAAGCACTTCTTGAACTAAACCATCTAAGATTCTCTTCATGTTGCTTGCGACCATTCCTGATAAGAAAAAGAAAAATTTTGTTTATCATTACAATTAACGTGATAATACTCACTGCTTTGTGCTTTTTCAAACGTTCTGTCAAGATTTATTAGCCGTATTAACTCCTACGACATTGAAAAACGATTATAAACAAAACTTTATTGATTCTTAAATTTAAAAAATATTAATTAATTTGTATCCGCGAATAAGAATTATCCAATTTTTCGCTCGTACAAACTGTCGATATTTTAGCAGGACCAATAACAGCTTTCATTTTGTTACCAATCCCAGCATATTAGTTTTGAATCCGTTTATGAATTTCATTGGCAAATCCAACTTCTTCAACGTTATGTGACTTCCTTTCTAAATCCTTTGCAGCAAAGGAATGAAAATTAATGACTGCTATTAATCTTGAGGGAGCCTCGACGCGCAAATTCGAATACAAATGTTCCCAATAATGGCGAGATGTTGATTCTATATCGTTCCTAATCTTTCCAGTGTCAATACTTATTCACCCAATTTTTACCACGTTTCCTCGCAATTTTTTGACCTGAATTTACAGATACAAAAATAATAAAAAAAGATACGTACATATGTAATTAATTTTATTATAATTAATATATGATATCTATTTATCAATCTATTCTTATCATTAACTACCACCTCTTGTGCCCATTGTTTAGCGTCCTTGATAACTTTACTGCAATCATTCGGAAATGCTCCCTTTAATCTGTTGGCATATAAAATTAAATTTTTTTTTCCTTTTCATCATAATTTTTTTTATCACAATTATCATACTTTAGAAATATTAATCAGTAGCTAAATATTAATATAAAGATCATTTGTAGATGAAATCTTGAATATGTACTTTTCGCCAATATCGATTCTCGCTGGTGTCATCTAGTCCAACCACTTGATTTTAATGGATTCCAAGCATTTTAAAGGAATATCAGCTTGTTTCTATACTACGTTGAATGTACTACGTTAAGTACTCTTATGAATTAGATTACCAAATTGAGCTTGCTCGACATTATACTCCACGAAAGTTCGTAAGAATTGAGAGAGTATATTGTATACTAGAATATATCTCCAATTTATTCGAGAGTTATATCGCCATTACAACATTTCATCGCTAAATATTAATTCGATCTTGAGCTCTGGTAATTTTCTTAACAACGATGGCAAGACGCCTTTATGGGAGAATGAATATATAAGCCGTTGATTTTGAAAATAGGACAAGTCCATTTTATGAAAAAAATATATATATTATATAAATATGTCTTCATATTCACATATAAATTCTTTTTTTCCCTTTCTATCTCTCTCTCCTCTCTATGCTTCTTCCTCTCCCCCTCTATTTCCCACTCACTCTTTATATTTTTCTTTCTTTCATGTCTTTTCTTTTTTCTTTTCTTCTACTTCCATTTTTCTCTCCAATTGCATCAGTAGAGTTGACGATCCGTTTCAAAGAAAAACAATTAAGTTACCATAATGAGTTATTTAAAATAAGTATAGAAATAAAACCTATAAGAAAGAGAGAAAAATACAATTATTTTATCGATCAGAGATATACGAGAAGAGAAAAAAAATATACGTGAGCGAGTAAGCACTTACTGACTTTTCTTTTACGATATGAAAATATATATAAAAAAGAAAATAATAAAAAAGAAAATATTAATTATCGATCGGTGACTGAAGAAAAAAAAGAAGGAAAATTGATAAAAAAAATGTAAGCACAGACGATGTCAGGCATGGATTCGTTCTGTTGACATTTTGATCCAATTTGATTTTTTTTTTTCTTTGAATTCGTTAATTCACTACGTTTAATTCATTTTCATTGCAAACCATTATTCTAATACTTTCGGCAAAATGAACGATATCTCACACCAGCGAAAATTATAATACATCTTCCGGTTGGATTGCACATATGACCCGCGTCCACCACCGAAACCAACACAACTCTTCTTCTTCCCCTTTCACCTCTGTTTACCTATCTTTCTCTTCAACATGGCCGATATTTTTCATTACGGCATAAGCCGTGTTATTGAACATTTCAATTTTCTACATTCTTCAATTATGATCAACGTATCTACATACTTACGTACGTACGCAGATGTGTTGTGCGATACGTATGTATGTATGTAAACATATTGTGCGTACTTGTTAATCGACTTTACAAATAATATAAATTTTAAGGTTATTTATTTGTCTTCCAGTAAATCAATACAAACGTTCTCGAATTCTAGTAAACTTTCCATATTGATATGATTAGTTATGTAAATTTACTTGTATATCTATACATATATGTATATATATATATATATATATATATATATATATATATATATGTATTTATATTTATATATAATCGATTTTATTACGCATACAGTCTCATTCAAAAAATTTCTAAACTAGGATTAATAATAATTCATTAGTACAGATTGTTATCTAAATTTATCTATTTCATATTACTTTTCGATTCAATAAGGTTAAAAATGTATGCGTATTCTCGCAAATCTATTTTCTAACATTTACGTTCTTAACAATAATAAAAAATGTGAAAAATCTTTTCAGTACTAGTACTAATAATAACAATAATGACAGTAGTAGTGGTAGTAGCGGCAATAGTAAATATTTATTTGAATCAAAAAAAATAAAGATTAATAAATTTTTAACCTATCAATCTCTATCTAATGAATTATATCTAATATTTTCTATTATATCTAATATATTCTAATATTATATATAAAATTATATCTAATAAATTGAATTGACGTTGTACGCAATAGAACGATGGTACGTTAAATATAAATACATACATATATAAAAAGAAAATATTAAATGTTTTAAACTCGAACGATTTTTTTTTCAATAACGTTATTTCTATAAATTTCAAGGAAAGACATTTCGTATGATCCGACATAGAGCTAACGTACTTGTAATACGTCCCTTCTCTTAACTTTTTTACCCTTTCTCACTCTCTATTCCTCTCTTTCTGTCTCTCTCTCTCTCTCTCTCTCTCTCTCTCTCTCTCTCTCTCTCTCTCTCTCTCTCTTTCTTTCTTTCCCATTATTTCTGTAATTGAATAAAGTAGAGAAATAGGAATGAATGAATGTGTGTGTTAGGAAAAGGAAGAAGTAAGGAGTGAGTGTATTAACGAAAAAAGTGAAGAAATTGTGGCTGATACGGTAAGAAAGAGAAGTAATAATTGTATGAGTAAACGATTAGACAGAGTAAGATGGAAAGTGTTTCATTGAAACAGAAGTAGTGAATTAGTGTATGAATGAGTCAGATAAATAGCAAGATAACGTATGATTGAGTAAGATATAGAAAGAGTGAATTAATTGAATAAGATACAGAAATACTAGTGAATAGTTTGTGGATAAGATAGAGTAATAAGTATGTGAGTGGATTAAATATAGAAATGGTAAATGTATAATATATGTGAGTGTATATATATATATATACATATCCCTTTCCGGACGAGAAGTATTGGCACGCATTTGAGAAAATATACACGTTGAACATTTGCGTTATAAAAACTAAATCTTTATTCAAAAAAAGAAAATTTTTTGTCCAAATATAAAAAAACCTATTTAGTTTTGCTATGTTTATGTGACGTTTTATATTCTTCATGATGTGGTATCATTCGAAGCAGTCGCCTGTATGCAAGGCTAGTTTAGCCGAACAAATAGCTTCTATAGTACCTTGATTCTCTTCTTCCACCTTTGATTTTCCAATTGGAACAACCACAAAGTCTTTACTCCATCCTGTATTTAATGCATTTTATATTATAATAGTAAAATAAAAAATGGCGGCATGCTAATATTTGGAAACCTAGGATTAATTGTTATAAGCACGCTGTACTTTTAAAATCTGCGTCGGTTTTCCAATCGAAAGATTACGTCCTTTGCGGGAATCGACAATTTCAGGTAAAAGGCACTCGTAATAAAAAACTGTTAGCTTCTCCTTTATTTTATCTGAACAAAAGCAATTGTTTTTTTCTATTTAATCTACACTCATTCTTTTCGATATTCAAAGAATAAAATAATATCATTGTCTTTGAGTAATGTGTAAAAAGATTCTACACTTGGTGTATGAACGTAATCTTTGTACGTCCAATTTTTTCCATTGGCCTCATATCCTTCATTGAAACTGGGCATTTGACTTCAATGAGGATACCAATTAAGCCGTTCGGAAAAGCCAAGAATAGTTGATGTTTATCTATAATCAGATCCATATCTTAAATATCGAGTCCGTACTCGGTGGAGAATCGTCTAATTGGCAATGATTCTTTTTCAATTCCCCACCTAATATTATTATGTCCCTTGAAACGGGGATATCTAATGAATTCTATTAATTTTACACAAAACCTGCGTGGCTTCCTTTTACAAATTTTTCCTAACATTGTAGCAGTTAATCGTTTTCGACTCTGCTCACTCTATTCGATAGAATTTCTTTATCCACAAGTTTCGCACTCGATTTTGAAAGGGTCTTCTTTATTTAACGATTCTACAAATAGTTTTTTGGCATGCATCAAGTCTTTGTCACATAAATAGAATGGCTGAGGACAAATCGCGTCTGGTTCATAATCATCGTCATTTTCAATATGAAATTTCTTCGCGGGATATTGAGAATTTTTTACTTTTCGTGAATCACAAATTCGACGTTTTCTATTCACATACTGTAAAGTAAAGTTGCCCGTACATTTACTTGACAATTTATTATTTATTTCCCGATGCAATGAATGATCAGAATTCATAATGATGACAGTAACTTTGCATCGAGCTTGATATGAGCTGCTTAAGACAAAGTTTGTTATGGACATGCCATATCAAACTGGACGCGTTAGCTGTTACGTAATGCATTGACGATAATATTTCGTTAAAAATACCAATGTTTTGCATTCTCTGTATGTGATTAATCTCACTAGGTTTTTCTTTACCAGTGTAATTACATTTGCTACATTTTTCACGATAAACAAAAACATGGTAGAGCTCATTGCAAATATATTACTGTAATTCCTCCACGTTGATGTAGAGACTGTTTTTGTTATCCTTTACAATATTTTACAGCTACCGTAACAGCGAATCGCAAACGTTTCAAATGTTTCTACAAGATATTTCGCTGAATGACGGAGCCATGATATTTATTTACACAAAGAGTCTGCAAAAGGCTACAATAGTTTTGTAATATATGATTGCGGCATTCACTCTTGTCGATTAGTAATTCTGGACAATACGGCAAAGCGTTTATCATTTTCCAGTGTACGTTGTTCTCACCTCTGATCAATTTGACATATTTCAAATCGTACATCTGGACATTACAACGAAACGTGTAACTCCTATTGTGTCTAATTCCATCTGTATTGTCAGACCATAACAATTCTTGTAGCATTGATGATCGCAAAGAGCTACTTTTGTACCGTTTAACCGATCGTAGACAGAACAATATTTATTACGCACCTCAATATATAAAATCTTTTTTGTATCAAAACTGAAGATTGCGGCTACGTCCGATAACAAATTATATAGTTTCTTATATTACCTTTTGACCCATGATTCATCCGTGACGACGATGATACAAGGTATATCACCGTGATTGACTTCTTCTTTTAGATAAGCAATATTCGTCTCCTCCTCTATAGCTTCGGATATTAGTTTATATGTCGTACTACGAAAATATTTTGATACAATAGTAAGGTATTTTATTCATGTACTATTGGAGAAGCTTGTGATATTTATCACGGCACAAAGTTCTTCTAATTGCGAATATCTGCTGCTAGATACTATTCAGGCGTTGACATTTGAATTTATTTCCGATGCATCATCACTTTCTTTCAACCTGACTAAGCAAACCACATTTATTACATTTTAATTTTATTATACTTATAAAACTATTCGTGCTTACTTGTA